AAGAAAATCTCAGCTTCTTCAAATTACAGCTCATTCACCTCTGCTCTTCCCATGGTTAAACTGGCAACAAATCCTATTTTCAGGAACATCTTGGGTGGCAGCTAGAAAGAGGCACAGGCCATGCTTCTAGCCCTGACCACCTTCTTGCCTACTACACACAGGCAACTGAACAAAGGTGGGGAAAATCACTAACCCACAGATTTAGGTTACATGACCTCAACTGAGCCTTCTCTACTGCTTGGCAATCCTACTATACCTCCCTCACCAACTGACTCCCTCAGGTTCCACAGCAGCTTCTCTGAACCGTCTCATCCCTCCTCAAACCCTCAGCAGCTCCCTGTCCCCGACTCTCTCAGGTGTGAACCTTGCTTCATATTTTACAGAAAAAAAACTGAAGTCATTCTCTATGAACTCCCTCTTCCTCATCTCCTATCACTCTGATGCCCTCTGCCACTCTCTCCTCCTTCACCCCTTTCCCATATGATGAAAGGACCTTACTCCTGACCAAGGCCCTCTACCTGTACAAGTGATCCCATGCCATCATCTCATCCCCTTCTGTCATCCTCACTCTTTCTCGTTTTTTTTTCTGTATGATTGTATTTTATTTTTTTCCAATTACATGTAAAGATAGTGTTCAACATTCACTTTTGTAAGATATTGAGTTCCAGTTTTTCTCCTTCCCTCCCCCCCAAGACAGCAAGCAATCTGATATAGGTTATACATGTACATCCATGTTAAACATTTCCACATTAGTCATGTTGTAAAAGAAGAATCAAAACAAAGGAGAAAACCACAAGAACGAAAAAAAAAAGTGAAAATAGTGTGCTTCGCTCTGCATCCAGACTCCATACTTCTTTTTCTGGATGCGGACAGCATCTTCCCTTATGAGTTCTTTGGAGTTGTCTTAAGATCCTTGCATCGCTGAGAAGAGCTAAGTCTATCAATGTTAGTCATCATACAACGTAGCTGTTACTGTGTACAACGTTCTCCTGGTTCTGCTCACTTCACTCAGCATCAGTCCATACAAGTCTTTCCAGGTTTTTCTGAACTCTGCCTGCTCATCATTTCTTATGGAATCATACTTTTCCATTGTATTCATACACCACAACTTGTTCAGCCATTCCCCAATGGATGGGCATCCTCTCAATTTCCACTTCTTTGCCACCACAAAAAGAGCTGCTATGAATATTTTTGTACATGTGCGTCCTTTTCCCATGTTTATGATCTCTTTGGAATACAAACCTAGTAGTGGTATTGCTGGATCAAAGGGTATGCAGAGTTTTATAGCCCTTTGGACATAGTTCCAAACTGCTCTCCAGAATGGTTGGATCAGTTCACAACTCCACCAACAATGTATTAGTGTTCCAATTTTCCCACATCTTCTCCAACATTTATCATTTTCCCTTTCTGTCATTTTAACCAACATGACAGGTGTGCTATGGGTCATTTTAATTTGCATTTCTCTAATCAATTTAGCTTATTTTCCGTCTCTCCCTCTCTACTGGCTTATTTCCTACTGTCTAAAAACATGCCCATCTCCTCCATCCTGAAAAAACTCTCACTTGATCCTTCCTTCCCTGCTAACTTTCATCCTACATCTCTTCTGCCCTTTGTAGCTAAACTCACAAAGGCCATCTACAAGAGGTGCCTCTAGTTCCTCTCTTTTTTTTTAACCCCTTACAATTGGGCTTCCCACTCTATCATTCTACTGCTCCTCTCTCCAAAGTTACTAATGAGCTCCTAATTGCCATATACAATGGCCATTTCTCAACCCGTTTGTCTTGACCTCTTAAATTCAATATGTCCAAAACAGAACTCATTATCCTTCCCCCTAAATCTTTTCCCCTTCCTACCTTATCTATCACTGTTGAGGGCACTGCCATCCTCTCAGTTCATCAGACTCACAACCTAGGAGTCATCCTCCACTCCTCACCGTCTCTCATCCCCCAAATCCAAGCTGTTGCCAAGGCCTGTACGTCTCAGCTTTGTAAAATCTCTCAAATATGTCCCCTTCTCTCCTGACACTGCTAACTCTCTGGTCCAAATCCTTATCACCTCACACCTGGACTATTACAATAGCTGCAGGAGGGGTCTGCCTGCCCCCAAGTCTCTCCCCACTCCCATCCATCCTCCATTCAGCCACCAAAGAACCATTCTTAAAGCACAGATCTGATCAAGTCACCACCCCACCACTTACTCCCCAACAAAACACTCCCATCTCTTGGCTTTGACTATATTCTCTGGTTCTTCCTCTATGCCTGGAATGCTCTCCCTCTTCCATTCCAACAACTGACCTCTCTGGTATCCTTTAAATCCCAACTAAAATGCTGCCTGGGGGCCACCAACAATTGTCTTAACCTACATCTTGCCACTGGACTCCAGAGGATGGAATGAGGCTGATGACTTTGCACAGCCCTGCCTCACTCAAATCCAATTAACTTGTAAGTCAAGGCATCACCCTCCAGAAGTCACTGGTCTATGAGAATGAAGGACAAACAACAACAAAATCCTACGTCTTATGAGAAACCTCCCCCAACCCCCATTCCAATTCCTTCCCTCTGTTAATTATTTCCTATTTAGCCTGTCTATAGCTTGCTTTGTATATTCGTTGGCAAGTTGTCATCCCAATGGATTGTAAGCTCCTTGGGGCAGGAAGTGTCTTTTGCCTCTTTTTGTATCCCCAGCACTTATAGTACATATAGTAGATGGTTAATGTGTTTACTGATGATTGATCACAGAATTAGATCTAATATGAAGGAAGCTCTAATGGTTGGGAGTCTCTGGGAGCCCCTTGGGTCTTTGAACTCATGCACAGCATACACCTTTCTGCCTCAGTCACCTTACCTGCCACCTCACTGAGCACAACTGAATCTAATTTTTTTTTAAATTTTTAGGCAATTGGGGTTAAGTGACTTGCCCAGGGTCACACAGCTAGTGTCAAGTGTTTGGTCTGAGGCTGGATTTGAACTCAGGTCCTCCCGACTCCAAGGCCGGTGCTCTATCCACTGCACCACCTAGCTGCCCCTGCACAACTGAATCTAAAGGGACAACCATGAAACACAAAGTATCCAGGTAGTGCCAAATGTGTCAGCAAAAAGCTCTTTTCCACCCCCATACAAGCATGTTCTTACGGCTGCTAAAATGATAGGTCGGTCCCAGCACTGAGCTTTGGTATTTTGGTTCCAGTTCCAGAAGTTGTTGTAACACTGTGCTAACGAGGTCTGCTCAAGAGCCTTGGGGCAGGAGGGTTTTGAAATGCCGACCCTCATTTTCGAGGCTATGAGGTAAAAAGCCTAAGTGGAGTGTGCCCATCACAGTGCGACAGGCTTTCTTTGATGGGCCAGACCGCTTCCCTTAGGCAGAGCAAGCTGGCCGTCCACGCCCTCCCCATGTTTCAGGTTACCGTTTAGGCTTGATGGGTTCAGATTAGTAATTTTCCTCAGCAATAGTAGGGTGGGCAGGCTCTGGCCCCCCATTTACAGGGGAATGGCACCACCTGCTGGTTTCCTCTTGGGATAACAAAGGCAACGAGAAGATTCCATCTTTGTTCCATCTGTCGCCACCGGTGTCCGGCATTGGAGCAGTTTTGCCTAATGCTGAACCAGGAGGGCAGTGGAGAAAGTAAGCCTCACACTGACCCAGGGAACCATGAGAAAGGCCAGCAGGGTGAAGACTCACAGGCTTATCACGCGCATGCACCTTGCAGGGCCAATTAGTGGGAATGGCTGGAAGGTCATTCCAACCTGGGACTATCGCGATCGGCAGGCTGGGCGGAATGCAGGATGGGCAACGACTCTGGTTACAGTTAATTTATCTTTTCTGAAAGAAGGGCACATCCTTTAAAAGCCTGAGGATTTTACATTCCCAAAACACTGGACCTAATTTTGCTCTTTCTCCACCAATCAATAAATACATGTATACATCACTGAAATGCCCAGGCACAGTGTCTGAGGCTCTTTCAAGCCAAGAACAGGAACCAGGATTTAGATCATGGAATACTTTTTAAAGCTAGGAAAAAGCTTGGAGATCCAGTCCACTCTTGGCATTTGACAGTGAGGGCACTGAGGTCTACCGAGGGGAAGATGTCTCGGCCAAGGACACAAAACTAGTGAGCAGCAGTGCTGGGCCTCCCTAGGGGATTCGGCGCCCTTCTGTTGCACCCTCCACCACATCGGACAAAAACGGAGATTTTCTCAGCAGAACAGGCCCTTCCAAGAAGCAGCTCCAAAGCCAGCTTTGGAGAAAGATCTAGTGATTGGGTTTTTGCTGTTGTTTCCATCTCACCACCACTATGTGGAACGCCATTCATAACACTTTCTTTACTTCAGTTTCAAATGCTTCATTTTCCTTTCTCGAGACTTCAAAAAAACCCCACCATTTTGAGTGGGTACTTCCATGATCAATGATTATAAACTTCTAATATCTTAGCTGGCAGTTTCAAGTTTCTACAGTAAAAATACAAATAAGAACTTGCCTGGAGGCCAACCTTTTACTCCCGAGCCTCTCTGAAGGTAGTTTGTTTCATCCTTGGCCAACAGCATTATTGGGTCTATATGCTTTCCCAACTTCATAGGAGTTTCCAGAGCCTGGGGCCCACTGGCATAGCCAGGAACAGACAGCATTTATACGATGCGTCTCATCAGATCTTTACCACCACCTTGTCAAGCAGGAACGTTTATGCCCATTGTACGGAGGAGGATACTGAGCCCCAGAGAGGGGTTCAGTTCCTTGCCCATGGTCACTATGAGTGACTGAGAAGGCAGGATTCAAACTGAGGACTTCTCCTGACTCCAAGTCTCAACACTCCTGCTCCACCTCTCTAAGAGCCCAGGGAAGGGAAATGGGGGGACACCTTTAGGATGAGGCATCAGGCCAGGACACTTACAGTGGTTCTTCTCATATACAGCAACAACATGGAATTGTCATGTATATGCATACATGGAGGACAAGAGAGAATGACTCCTGCTACATACAAAGAATATTCCACAACATGCTAGGGCTAGAGTAATTAAATGTCTGTTTATTCATAAAGAAACATTATGATACATGAAGAGACCAGAAAATCTTAACTGAAATACAACTCTATATAAACACAGTGCACAATGTTCAGCTAACCCAGCCTTGGTGGAGGACGGGGGCCCATCCTGTGTGACTAACAGCCGCCCACCATTAGCGCCCCACAAAAGGATTCCAATTTGCTAAAGTGCCTTGTGTTTTTAGGACACAGCTGGGCTTCAGTGCTCTGCACAGACGCAATGGCTTGATACTTCACAACAGTTACAATGGCATTGTGTATAGACCAAGGGTTTAGTTAAAGCATGAATTGTGCTCTGAGAACAATGTTCATTCAAATATATCTGTAGAAAGCTTTTTTCTTCCTGCTATGGAGAGAGGCATGGCTATGAGGAGGAAGGTGTATGGAGACTCAGACTGAAATGGAGTTTCCGTGCTGGCCACCTCCCCCGTGTGTGTAAGGCACTAGAAAATGGCGACGAGAGCTCCAGCTTTCCGCGCTCTCATTCCTGTCTGCAGAGGAAACACTGGCCGGTTCTTGTAACAGAGTCAGCCCTGTCCCTAGAAGACAGGAGAAGGCTGAAGAATAAAATGCAGACATGTCCACAGAGGATAAACAAAGTTGTCCAAGAAGGAGTGTCTCATTTTGCCCAACGTGACAGACTACACCAAGGGTAGCTCTGGCGCTCAATGGAGAAAAGGCCGGCAAAGACCGACTAAAAAGCTCAGCCCTCTTGGAAAGCTCCTCAGAGGAAGCACAGCATTCATAAAAGGAGTCTAGTGATTTTAGCACCTTAAACCAAGAGCCCAAAGTGGAGATGGCTGGGGTTCTGAAGACACAGAGCAAGTTCCTTATTTACCAAGCTTTATAACAGGATGGACAGCAGAATTCAAAACTAATTTTATCCTGGTTTTGTGGCAGGGATAGACGATGGGTGAGGGGCAGCTTTGTTTATTCTAAAGCCATCTGACAGAAAACATGCTAGACAGTGCTTTCCCGCTCACGGGAGTCTCCATATCATGACACTAACATTGAGAAGCGTTGTCTGAACTGCAGAAGCCCTTTCTATTAACAATACACTAGCCATCATCAACAGCTTTTATATCTTGGATCTCTCAGGAACCTCTTTGTGGACCATAGTGGGAAAAGAGGCAGCCCGAGAGAGATCAAAACTCTACACATGCCTTCCTTACTGAGAAGACTTACCTGGTTCTGCTGGGCTAGAGAGCTGTACGCTCCACGCTGGGGGAGCAGCGGAGACGGTACCAAGAGGTTGCTGATGGATTCACCTTGACCTGTCGTGCCATTTAGGGGAACTGCCAAAGTCCTCGAGTTTGATGGTCCAGGAGGACAGCCGCCCTCCCAAGCCCAGCAGAACCAACTGTCTAACTCAACTGTTCAGAAAGCTCCAGTTATATCCCTTTATCCTCTGCTGCCTGGGGTTAATGGGACCACACAAAGGTCAAGAGCATTTCTCTTTTTGAAACAACATGGGACAAGTAAAGCAACAGCATCTGGGGGCTACAAAATTTGAACGACTTGGCTCCACTCCTCTGAAAATAAGGTGCCTGTTGCTGCCAATTTCAGAGTTATGTCATTAAATCGGAGAACAAAACGGTACTTGTTTCTTCAGCCTAACACAGTTCTGACACAAAAGTTCATCCGCCACCACAAGGAAGCCTAACGCTGGGGCTGTAGTAACAACCGCACAGCTCTCTGGGTCCAAGGTCGTCTTGCTTCTGAGAAACTGCATTCAACAAAAACAGGATGCTCAAGCATAAACAAAATTACTTCCTACCCCCTTGCCCAGAATTAATAAAAATTATGTTCCTTAATAGGCTAGCCAAATTTCTTCTTATGATTTAGTCATAACTGGGAGCAAGGGAATGATAAAAGTCCCTGGAATCTTTGGGTTAAGAGGAAAAAAAGGTGAGAGTCCGGGAGGAACTGTCTTAAAGTGACAATTAAATGGAAACCATTTCCCCAGTTGTGACTACTATGAAACATTCAAGAAAAAAAAACATAAGGGAGTGTGGGGTGCTAGAAGTGTGCAAATAAAGAGAATCAGATTGCAATCTCACTTCTGTTTAGGTAAGTGTAGCGTTTTGGAAGATACTAGGCCAATGTCTTCTGCACAGAAAAAAGGATACAACTGCAACAAGCGTGAACTTTCATCAGTCTGGTACAGTAATTATGATGTTTTCTTTAACAATTAAAGACTTAGTAGTGCCCCAATACTAGAAAGCTGGGATATTTTCAGAGTAATGAATCTTGAAAGGTCATTTTATACTATATGGAGAGTGAAATCTTTGAGACCACATGTAATTATAGGTTGTGGGACACAGACACCCCATTCTTTTGGATATTCTTTCAGATTCCAACGAATGCCATAGCCACCCTGCAGTTCATAGAAGAAATTTCTGTAGTAGAAACACCCACTAGTCTAGAGACCTTGGTACAGGTCAAAAGAACAGCTTACAAATTCATTGTTCTCTCTTCATCTACCAGAAAAGTTAAGATAAATGCAATCTAAGCATGTTAGTGTTAACATAAGTATGGGTCACGCACATTATTTGCTGTTAAATTGTGGGGCATTTTTTTCTAGATGCTCACTTCCATTGCAAAATTACTGTATGTGTCTCTCTGAAAACATCAAGACATAAATGATGCACCAGTTTCTGCACTAATGCAAAAGAAGACTTTCCTCCTGAAAGTGACTAAGAATTGAGTTGCTTTTGGAAGGAGAAAGTTTCTACCGCAGGGTCTTAATTTTGTCATCATATTATATTTGTTGCCAACAATCTGGGATACTGAGAGCAGCTGACTGTCCAGGAAAGATGAAGCAACTCGTTTTCCTTAAACCCTTCCCATCTTCCCTCAAGAGACTGATCTACTGAAGCAAGCAATTTTCAGTCCTGTGATTGTGATTAGTCATTAGACTATCAATCATTAAAATAATAAAATTAGTCATTAAAATTAACTATTAATCACATTAAAGTATTTTATCTTTTCAAAGCTTTCTGTACTACTAAGTAATCCTGTTCCTTGACCTCAGTGCCTCTTAACACAGTGGGAGGAATGTGCCAAGCGAACCTAATATCCTCTGGCTGGAATTCAAATTCCCAAAGCCAAATGACTTTCGCCATAACAAGAAAGCAGATCCAAAAGCACAGACACAAATGGAAGGAAAATACTCATTAACTGTTTTCTAGGGAGGCTCACAGAAGACATGCAATACTGAGTGTTCCCAAGAGACCAAAATGTTTTCAGTACCTAAGACCAAAACAAAAGAGAACAATATAGGTCTATTTGCAGAAGGAAGATTAAAAAGAAGGATGCAACATTCCAAATGGAAGGATAATCTCAGAAAACATTTGTTGAATTGAATGTTGTTGCTGCACTGAAATCCCTGCTCCACAGGAAGCACAAACACCCCTCAAACGCCCACGACAGGAACGAATCTGACTGGATGAGATGAGATCGTGTTGGGTTGTTACACATGCCCCGGTAGAGGAAAAAACATCACTCAACATAGACATTAAAAGTGCTCTTTGCTTTGGCCATCTCAAGCTTTTGGGATCTAGATCTCCTTGTGATAGGAAAATTGATGCAAGGCCCAAAGGAGCTAACTTGTTCTAAAATGGATGGATCAAACTGGCTACTCCTTGCCCTGAATCTGCTCCAAGGGAAACCTGAACCCAAAAAGAACAAACATTTCAGATCTCTCTCCTTAAGAAGCCTTTTCTATACCCAGACAAAGAGAAAACCTCAAATTATTGAAGAAGAATGTCTTGGTCCACAGAAGCTCCAGGCCTCTTTTCAGATGTGATGCCAACTAACTACAGTCTGAACCTCCCCTCCAAATGAAAAGAAGTGGTTTGATATTAGAAACAAACACACCAGGCAAAAGTACTGGAAAGGTCCTTGCTGGCCCACACTGGTGTCTTCCCTCGTTGGGTTTTCTCGTCCATGAGAAGGGAATACTTCTTCCTGCCCAGGAATCTGAGGGGAACTGTAACTAAAAAACAAGAAACCCCAAGTACCCTTTTTGGCAGATAAGTTTCTAGCTGAATGCTTTTGGGACTACACAGCTGCCTCTCTTCCTATTTCTCTTTCTAAGTAGTGATTCGATGTCGTAATGCAACTGCTAAGCTTTATTCCCCTCTCTTAGGGGAAAGACACACCTGTGCGTACAACCCCAGAAAAGCCCAAATTTCTACTTACAAAGGAAGAACTTGGATTAGTGCAAAATCCCCAAATAGTAGAAGCAGCCCATCCACATCCAGTGGTACCATCTTCAAGACCAAACAACACCCAGTCTACCCGGCCTTTGCAACATCACTCCAGAAAACCTCCTCTGCCCATGTCTGCTCCGCCACCTTCCTCCCAACTCCCAAACTCTGGTCTATCTGCTGCTTTGTTCTCCGGCTGGGAGACACTTCTCTTCTCCTCATCTTCCACAGCCTTGATTCAGCCAAGGGCACTACACAGAATGCTAAGCATAGCAGAAATCTCAAGGCTTGGACTCAAGACAAAAGACACAAGAGGTAAAAAGAGCCTAAATAAAAGAGCTGTCAAGGAGACTGTGGACCCCATTCAGCAAAGCTGACAAGAAAGGCAGACTTCTTCAGAAGGCTGTTGGCAAGTTATCTAAATCACAAATTAGTTTCACCTTCAGGTCTAATATTTGCCATGTTCTCCCTCTTTTACAAATGAGCAAGGGCCCAAGAAAAATAAAAGAGCCGGCCTAAGAACAGAACTGTAAGTTATTAAAGAAGGGGTGACCTACTGTGTGACCCTGGGCAAGTCACTTAACCCCAACTGCCTAAAAATAAAAGGGGGGTGGGTGACCTAGACAGATTAGTGGGCAAATAACAGTGCAACAACCCACGAGTTAAGGAAAGTAAGGAAAAAGAGAAATTCCAAAGGCAAGCCAACCCCAATTGTCTCAAGTTCTGAAAGACCTTGGATCTACTGGAGATGGGGTGGGGGAGAAGACTTTGCACTCGTGGGGGCAGTACAGCTTTTTAAGTTCATGAAAAATCTGTACTAGCTCTTTGTTCTTTGGTTTTAGCAGTTTTAACTACCAAAAAAAAAAAAAGTCAAGGGGCTGAAGCTCATAGCAATTTGTAGTATCTGGGAGCTTCACTGCCAGGTCAAAAAAAACAAGAAAAGCTCCACTCAAAACAAAGGGCAAAGTCACTTTTTTTCCTTAGGACATTTGTCTCTAGGGAAAACAAAGCAAACCAGAAAACTAAAACTAATTTTCCATCTCAGTGAGTAAGGATAAGTAAAAATAAGAAAACTGCATGAGTAATGGAGCAATTTCCTAGATGGAGGAGAGGATGGGAAGCCAGGCCCAAGGCCCACATGAACTGAGTTACTGGAAAGAATGCTTCCCTCTTCGATGGAGCTGAGTGGATCAAAAACATGGCTATTACTCAGCATGGGCTGGCAAGATGTACCTACTGGACCCATACATTCCAGATGGTTTTCCCTCAAAGGATCAGAAGCTTATATGCCTTTTACAGATAGGCCAAGTAAGGCTGAACTAGTTAAAAAGAAAGTGCAGGACACCTGGAGAAAAGGAAACCAAGAAAGGGGGACTAGATTTTTGAGAGAAAAAAACAGTATCATTTACATTTATCATTGACGGGGATATCCTCTGAGCAATGCATCACTCTTATGTTCACCTAAAGAAGAGGAGCCTGACAAGGGAGCAGAAAGTTACAGGCAGGGTTTTCCCAGCTGGGCGATCCAATGATCGCCCTTATTGCTCCTTAAGAGCAACAGCTCTTTAAGAAAGCCCAAAGACCAAGTTGCAGACCGCCTCTGTCCAACACCACTCCGATAAAACCCTTGCCCAGTCTCACAGCAATGAGGTAGCTAATCATTCTATTGCTCAGTGTGTCATTGCACCAAACCCCTCTGCACAATGTACATGAGGAAAATGTAAATCAGAGTATCCCAATGAACCATTTAAGAGGAGCATCTCCTCAAGCCCCTGTCTGGATGCAGCCCTAATGGGTATGGTATCTGGCCACTCCACTGAAAGTGGTATGTAGAATGCCCAAGAAGAAAGAGAAGAGCTAACTCTAAAGTACAGGCCAGCAAATACCAGCTGCTCTTGACTGTGGGTGGCAAGGATAGAGCAAAGTACTTGGAATCAGACTGCTGCCCTTCAAAGGGCAGCCACAATGGTGCAACCATTTCTGCTGAATGTTCAGCCTGTCAAGTGTACCACGTGCCATCTGCCAACATAAGACTTTTTTTGGGGGGTGGGGGAGGGGATGAGAAGGAAGAGGAGAAGGTACTGGATGGGGTATTTAAAGAAGGAAAAATGAAAAAAAATCTCAAAGCAAAAAAATGTTAATGTAAGCTAAGTTTCAAACAATCTCAAGGTTTTGAAAATAACCTTCATGGTTAAGAAATGGAGAAAGAATAGGAAGCAATGTAGGAAGGAGGAAGCAGCTGGCAAGATGATCCTAGTGGGAAGTCCTAGTGTGAGGAGGGAGGCGGCAGGCTTCCCTACCAGAGTTACTTTCCCTGGAAGTCACTCATTTCTATCTCGTCCTTTCGTCGTTTGTAAGTAAAGAGGGAGCTGAATGGATAAAGAAAGTTTGGCCTTGGCCTGGAAGCGCTGTCCCGCAATGTCAATTTCATATTCCCCGCGGTTAATGAAATCAGGGGTTACCACTAGCTGCTCCCCTGTCTCCTGATTAAAATTGTGTACAAAGCCAAGGCAGACATGGCGCTCCAGAGTATAGCTGTAGGCACTGCTGGTGGTCATGCCAACATACTGCCCATTCCGATAAATGGGCTCTCCCCACCAGGGCCAGAGGTCCAGGTCTGTGTCATGGTCTTCGAGGATGAACATAGTAAAGCGTTTGTAGACTCCATTCTGCCTTTGCTGCAACAGGGCATCCCGACCAATAAAATCCATTCCCTGGAAAAGAAAAAATATAGGACTTAACGTGTATAGGCCACGATCATTTGGTCTTGAGAAACAGCACTAAGGGAAGAGTCCTTGATCTCAATGCATTACAATGCCATCCTCTAATCTTTTTTGGTGATGCCTTTATACTTATAGAAGAGGTAAAGCACAATACCTTATGTGAGCCACATTCACAATGTTAAGGGTATTCCAAAGAGCATCTTTTTAACAGGAGAAATAAAATACCTCTTTAAATATTTTAAAAAGAATTCAATCATAAGACACAATAGCATTAAATTGAAATTTTTAGAAATTTAAAAAAAATTTTTTTTTAAGTGAGGCAATGGGGGTTAAGTGACTTGCCCAATGTCCCACAGCTAGTGAGTGTTATGAGGCCGGACTTGAACTCAGGTCCTCCTGACTCCAGTGCTGGTGCTCTATCCACTGCGCCACCTAGCTGCCTTCTCTTTTTGATGCCAGGTATAGAAGTTTATATTTTATAGAACTATTTTTGAGCAGGGGGATGACATGGAACATTTGCTAAGTGTGGAACAAATGTTAGCATGACAAAGCAAATCCCATAATTTTCACAGCATTCAGAAAAGCAGTCAATCTAAAAGGTTTCACAACTACGGCATTAGAACAAGAATTTTCTAGACGCTTTGTATTTTCAAGCAACAATTTTTTATGCTGTGGATAAAATTTTCCAGTCCAAGGACACCCTGTTCATAATTATCTACCCATTGCTACACTCTGGAATTTCTGAGTGTACTCCTCTATGAGCACTCTCCTTCTAATCTGATCAGCATCATCATTCAGGTACCTGGATTTGGTCACATACAGTACCTTATCCAATTTCACGCGAAATTCTCGTCCACACTCCAGGGGTGTTGTGGACGTGTTCAAGTCCTGACCCCAAAAGGCAAAAAATTTCTCAATACGAAGACTTCGGAGAGCATAATAACCAGCATTTCGGATTCCATATTTCTGTCCAACACTCATCAGCTCATTGTACACATGCAGGGCATACTATAAGGAGAAAGAAATGGAGTTTACTGTTGCATTTTAGAGAATCCAGATTGATGAGTAAATGAGACCAGGATATATGGCTTACAAGTCCTCTCTCTTGCTCAAATATATAGTTGACAGTCCCCTTTTATTTCTTTTGCTCCCTCCAAATGACTAAATAGTGAGTGTTATGCCAAGGCCTTTAATAAATACTTGTTAAACAAATACACTTACAGCTTAAAGGCAGAATGTCTACCACTGTTACTTACAAAGAAGTCCACTCCCTTGTTCACAACTGTCCTCCTATCCTGGCTTACCCTAACTCTCACCGCTTTCCCAGTCATTCCTCACATCTCTCCCCCTACACTTTGCTTCTTCTGATAAAAGGGAGCAGTGTTCTGGACAACTCTAGGTCTGTGTAATAGCTTCTAGTCTGGAACAGACACCAACGATGATAAACTCTGGAAGCATGGAATAACCAAAAGAAAAACTACCAAGCTAATCTCTATTTTCTCCATCCCTAAATTTAAAAAGGATACTTTCAGTGAACATAAAAGTTTTCAGTTTAAAAGGTGAATAAGTTACTCTTGGCTTTGCCCTGGGGCCCCACTGTCGTGATTGATACCTTCAGGAGAAGTCCCAGGCATGCTTCATTTAAGGCCTCCTCTCAGGCTTCTTCCTCCTCCTCTTCATTACTGACTACCTTGCCTCCAGCAAATACCCTTTTCTCACTCCCCTCCCTAAATTCAGGAACCAGAATCATATGCCTTGGTTCCTGGACTAAGTATATCCATCAGCTTCCCAAGGCCCCACTCACCATCCTAGTTACTACCCAGATCAAAGAGTCCTCCCAAGACACTCTTCCCCTCTGGCTAGAGCGGAACTGGAATTTAGTTCCTTCAGGGCAGGGATTGTTCGTGCTTTCTGCATTTATATCCCTAGATCAGCAGTCCTGGCACACAGAATGCTTAATAAATACTTTTTTCACATTCATTCATTTAAAAATTGGCTTCAGAAAACTGTTACTCAGTAACTAATTAAAATATACACACGAGTCTCTGAACTGGAAGTGAAGTTAGGATACTAGATGCTAACTAAGAAAATTATTATGACTGCACAGGAGGTTATGTAGTTTCATTTGCATGAGAAGTTGAACATAGAAGTAACATCACTAGCCTTGCCCTTGCATACACTGAATCCATACTGAGCATGAAGAAGGAGACTGCAAGTAAGTAGCTCACCTTGTTTTTTTAAAACTTTGTCTTAAATTCTGCCTAAAGCAATAAGAGTCACCAATCATATGGGTGGCCTGTTGGAGTCATCTGAATCAATCACCGATAACACTAGAAGCTCTCATAACTCTCTTACCTCTATAGGAATATAGAGCATGAATCCAGGCTCTCCTGTGTGAGTCATGCTCATCACTCTGATTCCATTTGCATAACCCACACTCATCTCCTGTAGAAACCAAGGCAGAAGAAGTTAGGAAAAGATTATTATGGAAAGCATTTAGACCAGTCATTAACTCTAAGCCCTTTGGTCTAACCCTGAGAAATACACACTCCAATGAAAAGGGCACTACATCTTGGGGCTCCCCCTATCTAGTCTGCTGGAACCACACAAGAACAAATCTCTTTAAACTCTTCTGCTCATCAGGAACATCACCAGATCAATTTAATCCAACACACATGGGTCAAGTGCCTGCACTGTTACTATCCTGAACCATGTACTGAATGAATCATCTTTCTTCCAGACACTGTCTTTGGTTTAAAGACAGAAATGACAGTCCTTGCTCTAAAGACTCTTAGGTTCTATTCGATGGGAGTTGAGGGGAAACGCATATACATATATGTAAGCAAATACAATATAATTATTGTCTAAAATTATATATACATTGGGAAGACCAGGGAAGGTTTCAAATACAAACAACCTGAGCTAAGCCTTGTTGGGAAACCTGTATTTCATGCATGGGGAAGGCAGAGGGCATACTAAGTACAGGAAAGATCTAGGAGACCAGTTTGGCTAGAAGAGAGTGCTTGAAAGGGGGTATTTCCAAAGTTAAGTCTGCCAAGTTAGGTAGGACCTCGATTATGATCAGCTGAAGAGTTTGTCTTTTCTCCTCGAAGCCACACAGAGCCACTGAAGCTTTGTGAGCTGGGCAGTGACATGGTTCGACTTGTGGTTAGACTAAGGAAGATGACTTTGGTAGCTCTGTGGAATATGAATTAGAGAGAAGAGGAGCTGCAAGAAAGGAGTTCCATCAGGCTATTGAATTAGACCAAGTAAAAGGAGATGAGGCATGAAGTAGGCAAGAGCCATGGGAGTGCAGACAAAAGGATGGACTGAACAGATGTTATGGAGAGAGAACTGATAAGGCTTGGCAAAAACCTGAAGGAAAGGAAAGTCAAAGGTGCCCCAAAGGTTAAAAACACAGATGACGGGAACAAAGGTGCTGCCTTCAAAAGAAGTAAGGCTGTCATTGGTTGTTAGAGAAGGGATGGGTTTTTTGGGGAAAATATAATGAGCTGTTCTGGATATGTTAAATTTGAGATGCCTATGGGACCCTCTCATGTAGAGATGTTCATCAGACCACTGGTAATGTGGAGAAAGATTAGGCCTTAGATATATAGGACTCAGGAGAGTCTTTTGTGTACTCTACTGGCAAATTAGTTTCTTTTCTTTTCTTTCTTTTTTTTTTTTTGGTGAGGCAATCAGGGTTAAATGACTTGCCCAGGGTCACACAGCTAGTTAAGTATTAAGTGTCTGAGGCTGAATTTGAACTCAAGCCCTCCTGACTCCATGGCTGATGCTCTATCCACTGCGCCACCTACCTGCTCCTCAAATTATTTTCTAAAAGGATGGCAAGCATTCAGCACTAAGGACTCAGGCGTGTTATGAAATATTAACAAATAATACTTTGATGGGACTGCAGTCTGTAAGCTTTGATCTCACCCAAATGGAGAACCTAATTAGTCATCCTTGATTAAAAGACTTCATTGAGTTCTAAGAGGGATTAAGATTAGTTTTGTTTACCCTTGACCAAATTAAAAATAGCTAAGAAGGGACTTACTGGCTTTGGGCTGATATTCCACCAATGATATACAGACATTACTCTTTTTTTGTTTAAGCAAATCAAAAGTCCTCAAGCTAAATTATATGCTTTTCTTTCACCCTACTGTGGAAGTCTGTCTTTAGTTACAAAATAACTATAAAATGCAAGTGGTCACAGCTGAAGCTAGAGAAAATTCTAATGATCTCTGCCAGTTGTGACCTTTCTCCAAGCAGAAATAACCTCTTGACATGCAGGCTTTTCCTTCTATACCTTTGTAACATCACCAATCCATCATCTAGTGTCTGCTTGAAGATCTCCAAGGAAGGCTAAAGCCACTGCCAAAACAATGTTTCCTTTGTGGAGAGTTCTCTAATTGTAAGCAAGTTTTTCCTTGAATTGACATAAAATTTATCCAGTAACTTGTACTCACTGCTCCTCGTTTGCCCTCTGGGGCCAAAGAAGAAAAGTCTGATCTCTCCTCCACCGCTGAGTACTTGAGGGCACCTATGGCTAGGTAACCTTTTCCCCAAGTCTCTTCTATGCTAAATCCTCTTAGCTAATTCAACCAATCCTTCAATGGTACTATTTAGTCTCCCTACCAGCCTGGTTGTCCTCTGAAGGGCACTTTCAAGTTTGTCAATGTGCTTTCTAAATAATGGTATGAATAGCAGAGCATCCAGGTTGTGTTCGGACCAGGGCAGAGCGTGGGGGGACCACCTTCTCTCTCACTTGCATTTCTGGCTGCTTTGATGCATTTCTAATGGCACCATCTTGTTTATAATCTGCTAACTTTCTGGGAGACCGAGACCAGTGGTCACTGGGAGAACATCTTATCAAGGGATACCTCTTTCTTCAGTTAGAGAGAGAGGGAAGTAAATAAAAACTGGATTCACTTCATAAAAACGACAGGAGCCAAAGATGCCTCCTCTCTACACCAAGTTCTTTACAAGACAGGATGGCTTTGCTGATGGATCCTAGACCTATGCTGCACAAAGGAGGTACTGCAGACACTCAGATTAGCTTGCTACCATAGCATTAGAAACCTGGCTCTTAGCTTTTTAACAGTGTTTACAGAAACTAAGGAACCCTAACTGATTCCCAGAACTCTGCCAACTATTTCATCAGATGGCAGTTAAGTTATTGCTCCTTATTAAGAAGGTGGCAAACCCCAGAAGACTGAAAGCAAACAGCTTCCTTAAGAAAATGAACATAAATGTTTTCTCTGTCTATAGGAAGCCTAGCTGGTCCCTTCTTCCAAAAAAGCAGTTATGAAGTAGTCTATTTATTACTAAGAGTAAACAATTTTCAACTGCATCTGCCTGAAAGTTGAGACAAAGGACACTGGTGGAAAATTCAGAAGTGGTTTTCAATTCTGATTTGAAGGTCACAGAATCCCCCTCAGAAATAGACTTCCAAATTATTTCACAAGTCTGTCAATTTCGAGGCTTTTTAGAGTACCTTCAATATATCTGCTGCTAAAAAAACAGAATATACATGTCATCAAAGAACACAAAATGACCAATTAAAAGCCACACTATCTCAGCAGGTGATGAAACATCAGCTCAGATTCACCCACTCATTAGGGCTGCAAGAGCACTATAAATATTTGCTGAGTGTTCACAGAAGAACTGTAGTATTCATCTGTCAACACTCTGACAGGTGACTTGGAAAAACATGACAGCAATCACAGCCCCACATAACTGAGACAGAAGAGGCTTGATGAAGCACTCAAGTATCAGACCAAGGCAGAGCAGGCAGGAGAGACTTCGCTAACTGTGAATTTAACTGAGCTCCAAGATAAAGATAAAGCTCAAATTGACCCTCTGAAGAGAAGGACATGTTTTTGACGAAGTGACCTGGTAATGAACCAACAGCACAACAACTGTTATGAATCGTTTGCAAACAGACAAAGCTGTACAGGCTTAATTGGAAAAGATTGTTAAGAAGCTACCACCAAGGAGATTTTGACTAAAATTCAGAATGAGTAAGAGGTGGGGAAGACAAGAAAAAAACACCACCAGGCTTTTAAAAAACATTAATTTTAAAAGTCTTTTTTTGGAGTAGGGGCATTTGTATTGTTTGGTTGTTGGTCAGTCATATCCAACTCTCCTTGACCTCTTTTGGGGTGTTCTTTGCAAAGGTGCAGCAGTGGCTTGCCATTTCCTTCTCCAGCTCATTTTACAGATGAGGAACTCAGGCAAACAGGGTGAAGTGACTTGCCCAGGATCACACAGCTAGTAATTGTCTGAGGCTGAATCTGAACTCAGGTCTTCCTGACTCCAGACCCAGTTCTCTACCCACTGTGCCACCTAGCTGCCCTTCTTTTACATACCTAAGGTCTAATCCTAGACATTCAGAGAATGATCAGCGGTAACAGGGTTTTTAAAAATATCTTTGCATTTCTCTTCAGAAGCACATTCAAATATCAGTAAATTCCTATGGTCTCTTTTCTGACCACAAAGTGCAGTCCTCCATTCCTAGTAAGATGCCCAGTGTCAGCTGGACCTGTGCCTCAAGCCCCAGCTCACCCTACCTCTGTGATCATTAGATATCCAGGCATAAAGGGCCAGAGCCCACCCAATGCTCTGTTAGTCTACTATTCCCTAAATGGGTAGACACTGACAAAAACCCACTCTGCAGAAGTCACTGGATCATTGGTAAGGCTCTCCCCCAAGCTCACAGCCACACCCTTTCAAGGTGCTTTTGAGGGGAAAGGCCCCACAAATGGAAGTGGCATTATATTTGCATTAAAAGTGTGTATTTAATTCTAGAAACACTGCAACCAGGATTTTAAAAATTCTACAAGAATTATTGGGGCAGCTAGGTGGTGCAGTGGATAGAGCACTGTCCCTGGAGTCAGGAGGACCTGAGTTCAAATGCCACCTCAGACACATAACACTCACTAGCTGTGTGATTCTGGGCAAGTCACTTAACCCTAATTGCCTCACCAAAAACAAAACAAAACAAAACAAGAACTATCAATTATTTCAAACTGAGAAAGATGAAAACAAAAAACTATAAACACCAGTGGTATTTCTAGGGGACACCCAAGATACATAAACTTTTTTCCTTCTTCTTTAAGACAACTTCTAACTTGAGAAGATACTCTCTACATCAAATTTATACTGGCTGTGAAAACAGGAAACGGTGCAAGGGAAAAATATATCTTGGAAAACATACTTTTCTAAGGCCCATAATCTTGGAGGTGGAAAATAAATTAAGTCCACTGCTGTGGGAACTAGTTAATACTACACTGACATTCAGATATTTCAGTATATTTTTTAAAAAAACAATTCCATTGATGACTGAACAAGGATAATCTGATGGGGAGAGGAAGAAAAAGTTACTCATTACATTCCTTATTTGCTCAAAGTCAAAACCATCTCTGTGTCTACAACCTCACATGAGAAATAGGTACCAAAGCTCAAAACAATTTGATACATAAATCTAGAAACAAAAGTACACAGTTACCCACCTTGCAAAAGAGGGATGGAAAATGGTCTGGAGTCATAGGGGCATAAGATAATTCAGAGAGAACATCCATAGCACGGGGGCCAATCAGATTGAGAGCTAAACAGAAAAGAAGAGATGTTTGGCCTCTCTAAGGGAATGTCAAAGGTTTATTCTGGATTCATTTCACCTATGGTCACACCTGCACAAGGAGGTCCAAGGAAGTCCAAGATGGTCAGGTATTCCAAAGACTGAATCACAACGTTCTAATTTCGGCATTCACAATAACAACACTAGTTTACTAACATTTTGTAACTATTATGCAAATCTTATTAGGATTAAAGTGTTATAGAAAGCTATTCGATTTATCCCCATGCTTCAGGAAAACTTTCCGTACAGAAACGGAAAAGCATGACCAAACATTCTACAATAGCAATTACCAATGGGGTTTTGTCAGTAGTGTTAATGAAGAGTTTACTAGGGTCAATGTGGGTGAGAAAGAATGGTGGTCAATGCTAGTAAAGGATTGTTCACTTATCTGATGACACTTAAGGGAACTAGGAAATATACATGCATCAATCACTTAATAAGCATTTATTAAGTGCCTAATATTGCCAAGCCCAGGGTATGCAAAATACAGAGAATGGAACAATCTCTACTCTTAAGGGGCTTACATTCTACACGATGGCATCATGTGGGTACCTGGTAATAGTACTTCCCAGAGCAACCATTTTGCTATAGGTACACACAGTTAACATTGTATTGGATAATTCTTCTTTATCAAATTTAGAAACATAAACATTAAGAAGAAAAAAGCTGCTTATAGTTCTGACTAGTATCCAGACACAAAATATCTTCATTTGCATTTCTTAAGGGTGTTAACACTGTGCCCAGACTGACAGCTTTGAGATCAATGCAGGAACAACCCCAACCTCCCCAGAACAGTTTTGCTACCACATGGAAGTACCTTCCTCATAACAGAACAATCATCCTGAGAACTTTAGTAATAAAAATACACAAAAGAAAGAAAAAGTTAAAGGTGTCTGGGCCTTGAGGCGCATACTTCTTCCTACTGTGTGGGGGCATCCCCCTCTCCCAGCCACAGTCTTCTTGCAGGATACCCCCCAAGACTCTTCATAAGCTTCCAAACAATCCTTCAATTAATATTCATAAATGAAAAGTTGAGAATGCCTGGCAATATTCTAGTCAAGTGGACAGGGTGGGAACAGAGCCTAAAAATATCCGGGCATACTCTTTTCAGAAGCTGAATGACTGAATCATCTCAAGCCTTCATTTACAGACCACAGCAAAAAAGAGTATGATAGGCTAGCTCCCTATGGCGAGAAAACCCATTAGGCCGATTTCAATCTTCTGCAATGATTTAGACTCAGCTAGTGGCCCAGAACACTAAAATCCCACCTAAGGAGTGGAGTCAGGAAGACCCAAGTCCCAATCCAGTTTAGACACTTATCAGCCATATGACCCTGGGCAAGTCACTTGACTTCTGTCTGCCCCAGTTTCCTCATCTGTGAGATAAGGGACATTAATAGCACCTACCTCCCCAGAGCTGTTGGAGGACCAACTAAGATACCATTTGTAACGTGCTCTGCAAATCTGAACAGGCTATCTAAGCGCTAGTTATTGTTGTTGTTGTTATTAAAGCCAAAACCTACACTAAACGGGAGCTCAAGATGGAGAATAGAACAGTCCTGCTGAATTATCAAGGGCCTACGCAAAACTGACCTCAGTTTCTCTTGCCTACCACAGCACAGAAGTCTAAGTTAAACCTAGACTTCCTGACATCGCCCGCTCCCCCGAGCTCCCTTACCAGTGTACTTCCAGGTCACATCCTCTAAAAGCAGGCTGCTGTTCTCAGGCATGTGTTTCTTTAGCCAGGCCCAGCAATGGACCTGCTGGTCAGTAGGGGAAATCATGAAGAAACTAGAAGGCAAAGTCCAAAAAAAAAAAATCACACCAGGTAGCAAAGAATGTTCGATGAAGTCAGCAAGGAATTCTGCCCCTCTCTATTCTCCAGGCCACTGGAGAAAACAATGCTAGTCCATGTACAAAAGTCTTCTACAAGCATCCAAAGAGTGACAAGAGCCAGAAGCAGCTTGAGGCTGAATGCCACCTAAGCAGAGCCACAGAAAAGGCTGGCCTGTGTGCAGGAGGCACAAATTACGTGGGGTCTGGCTGACACACTGCAAATTTCCACAAAATAGGTAGACTTCCCAAATTCAGAACTGCCAATAATTTATTTCTGTGATTTCTTCTTAGACTCAGTTTCCAAAGAGCAAACTGTTCAAAAAGCAGGGCTTCTGTGAAAAGGTAAATGACTGGCCTTGCCCAGTGTCACCCAGTCTGTGTCAGAGGAAACTTGAACTTATGTCCTCCTGACTCGAAGGCCTTCTTTCTATCCTATATGTCAGGCTGTCCCATTCTCAGCCATACTCCTGTACCACTGTAAAGGGAGGGGGAGGAGCTGTAGGAATGGGGGCTCCCCAGGGAGGAGGCAGGGGAAGCCCCCCCACCCCCTACCCCGCTCTGTTCACCTGCTTTTGCTAAGCCGAGCTATGCTGCAGTCATTTTCATAGCCACCACCCTCATTGAGCATGCCTGTGTGCACAATGTGGCCCACAGGCACATCCAGGTCATTGGAGAAGAGGTACTGAAGAAGCTCAAAGTCTTCTGCCTCAGGGGACTGCGGGGTTTGAGGAGAAAAAGGGAGTTAGCACAACAGCCTCAGGCCAGGGAGCTCTCCTGAAGAGGAAGCAGATGTGCAGAGAAAACTCGAGAGTGCCACCACCAAAGGTGCCAGGCTTGGCAGCACTAAGTCCATCCATCCTCTCCACTTGCACCCTTCCGCCCCCACCTCCCTGCCCCCCCCCCCGATCCATATGTGACCTCTCCAAAATGGACTTCATCAACAGCTTCCTCCTTACGGATTCCTCTGCCTCATGTCCCTCCCCTCTCCACATACAGGTCTAACCACATCACCCCACCTCTCCTTCACCTCTGGGGCTCCCCTTCCCTCCAGAATGAACTCCGCCATCCTGCCTGACATCCAGAGCCCATGACCCCCTCCTACCTGTGCTGGCCCCCACAGGCTCTGTGATCCACCTACTTGGGCTGATGGTCCTCCCACCCCTGGGACGCTCCTCCATCTCCTCACTGCCCTTGTACCTGCTGTGCCTGGGTGTGGGCTGCTCACCCTCCTCACCTCTGCCTCCTGGCTTCCCTGTCCTCTTCAAGTCTCAGTTCAAAAACCCAACACTGCCTCCACCACTTAGTATGTACATAGTTATTTGTGTGCCGTGTCCCCCATTAGACTGCGAGCTCCCTGAGTTGTCCTTCTTTGTATCCCTGGGCCTTAGCCTACAGCCTGGTACAAAGTAACTGCCTAATCAATGCTTGTTGAATTGATATCAGGAAGATGAGACAAAATTAAAATCCTGATTATATCTCTTACAAGCATGACATAAAAAAGGTAACAGTTAATTCTGACTAGGCATGGATATTCCTGAAAAAAATTAGATCAAAAAATGTGAGAGGAATTCAAGAAAATCCAAAAAAACAAAGACTAAAAAATCCAATTACATTACACTCCTCCTACAGAGACAAAGTACTGGTATCAGATAAGGCTATTCTGACAGTCAGGAAAGGCTCTGTAACCTGTCATTTGGGCTCCCAAATACTCACAATTATTTCAAATTTAGTAAAAGAGGACATGTCAATGACACATACAGCCTCTTTACAGCATTTGACCTCGGACTCCACAATGTCAAACCAGTCTGGCTTATAGAATGTCTTGCTCTGTTCCAATGCCAGTAGATCTAAATTAGAGAAATGACAGAATTCAAAAAGAAAAGAAAGAGGATTTATATTAGGGGCTCACTATATATTCCAGTGAGTAAATCAAGAGTAGATTGTTTACCTTTCTTGTTAAATATGAGAGGCAGCATGACACGTAAGACAGAAAGTAGGTCTTGGAGTCAGGAAGACATAGGTTCAAGTCTTTCTTCTGACACAGACTGGGTGACACTGGGCAAGGCAAGTCACTTGCTGTTTCTACTACTTCCCAGGCAATGAGCTAAGATTAAGGAGCAAGTCACTGCTGCTCTGCATTAATACAAGGGCTTTTCTAAACCTCTGAAATCACAGATCCGAACCAAAATAACATAGCACTTTATGGTCAAAAAGTACTTTTGTGTACTTTAAATTATTTGTTGAATTATCTTACTGGAGCTTCACAATTACTCTGTGAAAGAATGAAAATTATTTTCCCATTTCACAGACAAGGAAACAAGGTTTACAGAGATCAGATGATTTGCCCAAGGTGAATCAGGAATTAGAACCAAGGCCTCTTGCCTCCAAAACACAGTGTTTTTTCTTCCATTAAAAAAAAGCTGCCTCTCATGCCTCACAATGTATGGTTTTTCTCAGGTTTTCAGATCAGAAACTAAATGAGATCTTGCCTTTGTCAGGTGGGACAAAATACTTGGGCCTCTCAAAGCCATGTTTCTCCATCCATCTGGCTCCCTGTGCATCCAAACGGTCATAAAGGGGAGATGTACGCAGCTGCCGACCAGTCAGGAAGTCCCACCTCGGGACCTTAAGATCATATAGCAGGGCTGACATGAACAGAAAAGGAGGTGAAAAAGCTCACTAAAGCAAGAAGAGCTTTAATCAATGAGAGACAAGAGGCAAGGGGTTTTTCTACACCCCTCCTGGGGATCTTTGAGCAAAGGCTGGATGGAACATGAAGGACAGAGACTGTTCTACTGTCTCGGAACCCTCAATCTTTCCCAGTGCCTGGGACATAAGAGTACATTCTTGCAAATGACAGCAGTGGGGACTCTTTTATCAGTACAGATTGGGTGAGATAACTCTCACACTGAATGGCACTCAAAGATCTTATTGTGCATGTGTCCTGGGCACTGAAACCAAGAACAAATTAAATTAAGAGCTTCAGTTATATTCAATAATGAACATAAATATTCACAGATTATTTAGGAACAGTTTAGCAAAGTCTGGACATGGATTCCATCGGAGTGAGCAATAATCTAAAGAGATTCAGAACAAAAAAATTTTTTTAACTGAGGGAATGGAGAGACTGATGGTGACAGGAAGGTAGGAATGTGTTAGAAGCTGTTTTCTATCTTATTGCTATGTAACAAATAATCAGGACTCTCATGAAGATTAGGGTTTTAAGAATAATTTTGTGAATCTAGTATCTAGGAAAGACAAGTCCAAAATTCCAAGGGAAAAAGCAAGAAAGTAAGAAAACATTCACTACACAAGATGGGGTCTCTCTCAGGCGAAACCAACCTGGACACTGCTGAGTATCTACAGAGCAGCCACCACTCTCACTGACATCTGAAAGGAAAAGGATCTTTGGGGGGAAAAAGAAGAAGGCCTTTCCTCATCCACAGCGAGCCTTCTGAGGGTGAAGCAGTGGACTTGCAATACCCCAAGTAAAATGATAAATCATATCCAGCAGGATTAGCATATAAACAACTTCCTAGGATACAGAACTAAAACAGTCAAACATCCAAGATCATACCAGGAGAAGCAATTAGGTAAGTGAAGAAAAAGTGTTCCCTTGGGACCGGCAGGTGATAGTGGAGTAAGAAAAAGGCTCACTCACGCATCACTTCCATGACTCGGTGGCGGAGGAAGGTACGGCTGCTCTGCAGAGCTCCAAATCGTTTCAAGTCCAAATCCCACACATTTTCTGAAGGATAACCATGAACCATCCATTCAGCAAGGTACCTATTTTGAGACACAAAGGAGGGGCAGCTAGGTGGTGCAGTGGACAAGAGCACTGACCCTGAAGTCAGGAGGACCTGAGTTCAAATCCGGCCTCAGACCAAACACTTAACACTTACTAGCTGTGTGACCCTGGGCAAGTCACTTAATATCAACTGCCTAAAAATTAACAAAAAAAAGAGAGAGAGACAAAGGAACAGGAAGCTCTTGTTTCCAACACTCTAAAACAGTGGTCTCTTACTATCAATACAACATTCTTGAGTGCACATGCCATAAAGTACAGAGCTATTTGTAAGTGATCTACCTATACTACAGCAACTAATAATTATAAACATTATAAAATTCAGAGAAGCAGCCTGGTGGAGTGGTAGTAGGCCTCCAAGGCAGAAAGAGCTGTTTCCAAGTCCTACTCCAGTTTGTGACTGTAGGGGCACCGGGGATGGACGCTAGAAAAAACACTCCCCTCTCAGAGCTCTAAGACTGTGGGTTGCAAAGAAGATGCCAACCTGCACGGGCATGAGAAGTTCAGTCATGTATAATTTTTCTGTACCAAGGTATCACAGATCTATTCTCCATCCACATGATAAAACTTACATTAAAAAACAGAATTTAAGGGCAGCTAGGTGGCACTGTGGATAGAGCTCTGGCCTTGTAGTCAAGCAGACCTGAGTTCTTATCTGGCCTCAGACACTTGACACTTACTAGCTGTGTGACCATGGTCACTTAACCCCAACTGCCTCACCAAAAAGCAAAAAAAAAAAAAAGAATTTAAAGACAAGGTAAAGATGAAAGATTTGCTTCTCAAGTTAACAAGGAGTTCCTGGAGTTTACTGAGTACAGGAGTGACCTGGCCACCCCTAAACTTTAGGAAAAGCCTTTTGGCACGTGGAAAATGACCTCAAAGGGGAGAGACTGGAAGCAGAGAGGCCTATCAGGAGACTTGCAATAGCATAGGCACGAGGTAATAAGGACCTGAAAATCAAGAAGAGACTGTGCAGAGGAGCGGATACGGATGAGAAACAAGACTGGGAAGCTGCTTGGACATCTGGGGTACAGGAAAGTGAAACTGGGTGCCTGGAAGGACAGCTGCATCCTTAACAGGAAGGGTGCCACCTGTTCTTGCCCAGCAGCACAGCACTGACCTTCTGAGGAGCACCTGAGAGAGAAGGGACTGTCTCAGCTGCTGCTGGGGCACCCAGGTCGAGGCCTGAGGAGCAAAGCCCAAGCTCAGAGGCAGGGAGGTGGGAAGTGTACACAGCCGCACAGCAAAGGGAAGGGACAAAGAGAGGTCTGAGGGAATAAAAAAGTAGGTGTGGTTGGACAGACCAGCAGGGAGAGTAGGATATGACTGATCTTCCCACCCTTCGATTGGGTGATCACGTGCCTACCACCTCGTGTCTAAAGGGTCTACACTGCCAATGAAAACACCAAGGTTCATTTCTGGCTATGCCACAGACTTTATGTGCTCTTAGCTAATTTACTTAACTTCTCTGGGGAAACATCAGTCTAAAGTTGCCACCTGCAGCTCTGTTACCTGTCTCAGTACCACTGCTAGGACTGTGAAACAGAGCGGGGCACTATGGAAGTGTCAGACATCACATGTGACCAAAAGTAATAAAAATGTCATCACGTACATATCATAATGGGCACGTCCTTTAAAGCAGTCACCTTGGAAATTACATTATCACCCAATCCAAACTGTATTTGGAAATGTCCAGCGACAACTTATGAGCCACACAAGAAAATGAGCACTACAACCTTTTCAAGCCAAAACCTACTTTTGACCTGAAGTGAAATCCTCCATTTGACTATGCTCCACCTCTTCCCAGGCTTGGCACTAAATCACTACCCTTTAATGCAAGCTGATGCTTAGAGAAGAGTTCCTGAAATACTTCAGGCTTTGTTAGATTAAGTAGCTAGCCTCCTTGGTTATTCCTTTGAAAGGGACAACATGCTACTGAATGTGTTAGTCCTGGTATGTTTATTTGAAAAACAAAACCAACAACAGTTTGGGGACTGTAGTGCCACACCAGCATCACAGGAGATTCCATAAGGGGATAAAACAATAAGCGGAAGCAGTCACGCGGAGCTCTGCACTTGTGCCCAAGTTACTTACTTGCCTGCTCCTCCTGCAAATGAAGTTCCAGCAGAGTTCATTCCAGCTAGTACGAAGTAACCCTGCACAGTCGGAGACTCCCCCATGATGCACCTCATGTCTGGCGTAAAGGACTCAGGGCAGTTCACCAACTTCACAATTTCTAGAGCTTCCAAGGTTGGCATCCTGCGCAGCAGGGAGCTCAGAAGAGGCTCTGAACAGAAAAAAAAAATACAAAAAAAAAAAGTAATACTCACCTGCAAAGAGAGCAAAGACGTTTAACCCCCATCTTTTCATTCTCTTCTTCTTTCGTAGAATCTATTTTTTTTAAAAAAAGCCTTTAAAAGGAAAATCTTACAATAAAAAAATCACAGAAGAGGATCTGTGAGATTTAAAATACAATGACTTGGAAAAATGGTAGAAAATTTCTGCACAGTGATGTAGTTACTGCACAGAAAAGAAAAGGTCATCTTCTAAAAATTCTACAAAGCAAAGAGGCTATCAATTATCCTATTTAAATAATGAAAAAAACTGAAAGAGATGGGATCACAAAAAGGTTTTTAAAGAGTCTTTAAAGGGATCTCACATAATGAGGGGCAATGAATTCCTAAGATGTTTATGAGCAGATATAAACATTACACTTAATTTCAAAAATACACAGAAAGACCAACAACCCAAAAGCGACTTTCCAATGACGTCTCAAATTTAAATGGAGTCCTGCTCATAGAAGGTCTTCCTCTCCTTCAAGGGATGTAAAAAGAGCAGCATGAGAGGTCACAAGAACATGTCATATTATATGATTCAGCCACCATCAAAGTCTGAAAAGCCACACTGAGACCCAAGCCCCTGCCTGGGAGCCATGAAGAAATGAGAAAGAACATGAAGAAATCTGGATCTCTTGGTGGCTACTTGTGTAGCTCAAAAGCAAAATACTCCAAAAACATTCTAACAATGTTTAAAAAAAGGAAAAACAAAAGTGGGTTGGCCTAGGTTCTAGCTCAGTTGTCATTAACGAGTCATGTCTTTGGACAACTCATAACTTCCTTAAGCCTTGTTTGGTTTGTCTGTAAAAAGGGGATAATAATTACTGCCCAACCTACATTAGCGTTGTGAGGAGACGACGGGACAATGTCTGTGATCGCAAATGGGAGACAGCACTACCACGGCTCTATTCACATACCAAAATGATCCCAGTCTTCATGAAGATTCTGAACATCTAGCTGGTTCTTGCCCTCAGTAAAGATGGGCTTAGGGTTCTTCTCAAAGCCACCAGATAGGATCCCGCCTTGCCAATTCCGAATGTAGATCCTTCCATCTGCATCCACAATAGCTATAGAAAAGAGATGGCAACAAAGCAATGCGGAGAAGGAGAGAATCTCCATTTTAAATTAAGACAATCTTTCTAAAAGGACAAAGAAGAGAAAGAATTAACAAAGCAGGACTTGGGAGCCAACAAAAGAGATTCATTCATTAATGAACTTGCCAAAGTCACCCAGGTCAGACTCCATTAGGGACACAGGCAATCTAGCTTAAACATACTTCTGATGTATTTTGGGGGGGGGGGTGGGGGGGGGATGGGGTAGAAGTTGGGCAGCCACCTCCAAGTCAACTTCATTTTCAAAGCCAGTGGTGAATGTTTCTCTTGTTACTCCTAACCCCCGACACTCAATTCAAGTAGCATGGAGCCTTTGTGAGTGCTTGTAGCTCAAGGACTTAACTGCCATTGTATCAGCTGAAATTCAGGCAGAAAGAGGGGTCTATGGATCCTGTTTGGGGGTGATGGTCCCCAAGATGTCAATACCCTCCCCTCTGACACAAGACTCATACACACAGAGAATCTAAGCTACACGTCTTTCTTATTTTGTCTGAATTACTTTTAGGGATCAGATCACCATGGCAAAAACCAGAGTTCTTTCCTAACCAGGGTTCTCAAATGGCACGGGGAGACAGTTTAGAAGAAAAATTTTCTTGTAAAAGAATGGTGGTTTAAGTGGAATAATGTCTTGGCTACCCTTTAATAAATATTCACCTTAAAGAAATAAGTTAGAATTGGGTTTACCTCCCCATAATATTCCCGGGGGGGGGGAGAAACTCCTTGGGGAAAGTAAGTTCTGTCCTCAGGATAAAGATCTCCCTTTCAGAAGAAAGAATATTGTAAATGAGTAAGATTTGTTTTAAAAAGTACAAGTCCTCACTTGGTGTGCTGCTCTGCAGTGGGGTCTCCAAGGGACGAGTCAGAAGGTAGAAGTGTTCACAGGCATGTAACGGGATACTAACCGGTTCTTCGTTGGACAGACCCAGCTCGTAAGCCCACTACAAATGGACAAATTTATTTGTGGGTGGGAAGGGGAGAAAAAAATACAAACGAGCAAGTTAAGTCTCTTGAAAACCTTAATTTCAAGTGACTTTTGTGCTCTTCTACAATGCCAGATATGGGAAGCCAGTTTCAGCCTACCTTAGTCCATATAGGAAATGTCACTGTATTGTTTACATTGAAGAGATGAGTTTAATTTTGGAACAAAGACAGATAAAAGACTTATCCCAGTGCTTAGAGGATGCCTAATCTCTTGGGGACAAAAATGAGTTCTTAATAGCAAAATAAGACACGATCTCACCTACAGACCTCAAAATGACAGTGGCTAAATTAACTTCAAACAGCAAAATGAATTTCCCAGCTCACCTTAAGATTACTAAACAGTACAAAAGGAAAACAATTTTCCTTAGAACAGCCTCCCTAGTATCCACAAACTGAATCCCTGAATTCCATGCCCCTGACCTAGTGAAATAAGTCAGCAACTTAACTGAAGCTGATGAAAACAGACACCCAATGTAACAACCAGACCCAGGGGTGGCTGGCTATACACTGACATTTCTGATTGTGATGACCTCATTTAGTGAAGTGCAGAAGAAGGTCAAGTCTAGAGGTACCTCTCTTTCAGACACAAGGAATTTCTAATTTCAGTTCCAGGTTTTTCCTCTGGTCAAAAACAGAGAGAATCACTTGGCTTTCTTACAATTACTTAATAACATAATCATCTACTTCTCTAGATGATTAAGTATCTGGAATCCTGGATACTCAAACTCAACAAATATAAGAGTTAACGTTAAGTAAGACAAGATCAAGATACAACATTGTTTCCAACCTGACCAGCACAGCTGACAAAATACTGGCATTCGATGCATCCTCTATCCGTTTCTACTCCAGTTACACGACCCTTTTTAACTTTCACATGAATAACACTCGTCCGGTCACGGATCTGAACACCTGTGCCAAAGTAAGAAAAATGAGTTAATGTATCACCCTAGGTTTGTGAACTAGAGAGGATACAAACATCGTGAGTCTATGTGCCAATCACATTCTCTTAAGAGAGTAGGCCAGACACTCAATAATCTACAAAAATTAGAAATGAAAAGCTACCTTTAATTTTCAGAAACAGTATTTAAATGACATCCTACCAATTTAATACATGGCACACCCACTTCACTGATAGCATGTGCCGGGTTCTCTCAAAGAATTACTCTAGTTCCCAAATACAATCATTTCTAGAGGGACACACATGAGAACCAGGTCCAAGGCCCAGTCTATCTTCCCACCAGTCCTTGCCTCAGTCACCTTCACTCCCTACAACTTTGTAAACCTGCTGATTAAATGTCTAAGGGGTTTGAGCCTGGAGCTTTGAGAGCTTCGAGAAACTTTCTGTAGGCCTGCAGTATATGAGCAGGCACAGACAGCAATTCTCTGGGATAGTAAAGAGAAAAGTGGATATTTTTAAAAGTGTCTGTTACTGTTAATGAACTCTAATACTCGGGCATTTTAAAATGGTAACTGACTATCACAAATGGAAAACAATCTTTCCAAAGTTGGGCTTGTTTCTTTATGGGTTTAAAAAAAAAAAAAGCACAGCCTCTATTAGTAGGGGCAACTTCAGACAGCACCTTACTTTCTCAATTTGAATTTTTTGTCCAAACCCCATCAACAACCAAACGAGCTTCTCACCATTTTGACAGGCAGCACTGGCCAATGCAAGAGCCACATCAGCTGATGACACCACTGCATCCTCAGGCACATGCATGGCCCCCACCAGGTCATGGATGCTGATGAGTGGGTACAGCTCAGCCACTCTCTTGGGGGAGATGATCTCAGAAGGGATGCCCATTACGCTGTCACAGAAAACAGAGAGGCAGGGAGCTTACCAGCAGCTCTGCAAAAAACCGTATCCACCAAGTAGAAAGACTCCTCTCAGCCTTGGACATACCTCAGTCTCGAGTTGATACGCTTCAAGGAGATCAGTCGGTCCTGAGTCTGAGCCAGAAAGATTGAGCCTGTCCTTATGTAACCTGCATGAAAAACCAAGTCAGACCAGAGAAAGTTGTCTAACAGATTTTACTGGAGGAATTAATGGAAATCCTTCCAACAGACAGGCACATCTCATTTCCCACAGAAAACCACTGTTAATTAACCCTACACTTGTTTTTAAATGAAATATAATTGGAAGAAATCTAGTCCACTAAAGCTAGAGCCCCACATCTTCATAGCCTCCTCCTAAAAAATCCCACAGAAAAATAATAAGATATATAGGCAAAAGGATACAGAAATCTATCCTGCTCTACAGGAAAACAGAAGGAGAAGGGGATAAGAGAAGGGGGTGGGGTGTTGACAGAAGGCAGGGTAGACTAGAGGAAGGGGTATTCAGAATGAATGTCGTCTTGTTGTGGGGGGAGGAGAGAGATGGGGAGAAAATTTGGAACTCAAAATCTTGTGGAAGTCAATGTTGAAAACTAAAAATAAATAAATTAATTAATTTTTATAAAATTTTCAGAAATAAGCACCATGAGAGGGGTGTACTGGTAAATTGTTAATAACTATTTAAACCAAAAAACCCTAATCTACACTATGAACATTTTCTTCATAATGTTCTTAAGTCCACGCAATCAACAAAACAACAAATCAAGCCCGAATCGGAGTGTTTGCCAGTTTCTGAGGTGTAAGCGCCAGCTCTGCAAACTCAGTAATCGCTTCTCAAGAGCCAGCATCAGTTGGCTCTAGCACACTCTTGCCTAAAGCCCAGTTGAGAACACTGGGATTTTAAAGATGGGAAAACAAATTTAAAATAAAGACAAAGGGCTAAACCAAATGGTTAATCTCAAAGGGCAATTTGGAAGTAGACAATACAGATTTCAGTTTAAAAAAGCAAAGGACTCATCCAAAGAGATCAAATTACTTGGAATTACACCATACAGCAGAACTGTATTAACAGGCAATGTGGTGGTGATAAAAAGTCAGCCTTACAGTTAAAAAGACCAGGATTCAAGTCTGGCCTCTGACACACACTGGCTTTGTTTGCCACTGTCCTCTGCGGCATATGGGGTCTCACCATCTGACTTGCAGCTGAAACCTTCTCTACGAGTACGACCTCTGAGAGCATGGGCTGCCTTGCTTTTCTCTCTGCATCCCCAAGCCTTGGCACAATGCCTGTCACAGAGTCAGTGCCTAATCAACGTTTTTCATTCATTCACTCACTCACTCACTCCTTCATTCACTCCTTGAACCACTCCATGCCCCCAGACAAGCCTCTAACTCTCTAAGCTCCAGGACAACTGCTGATCTCATGGGTACAGAAAGTTTCCTCATATCATGGGTCTAGATAAAAAAAAATTCCATTACACTACAACTTATTAAGTTTAAAATACACTGTTTTAAGGGCAAAAATCCTCTCTCCTACACCTAAGAACTACATGCTATGAAAGCCCAATTCAAAAAGGCCAGCCTCTAGATTATGCATGATGTCACAGGAAGGAAAGAAACAAGCATTCACATGGCACCAGGCACTGCGCTTAGCACTCTGTACAAATGCCACCTCAATGGATCCTCAATAATCCTGGGCGACGGGGGCTGTGAGCTGCCCCGTTTTACAGTGGAAGAAACCAAAGCAAACGGAGGTGAAGTGACTTGCCTAGGATCACACAGCTGGTAAGTCTCTGAGGACAGATTTGATCTCAGATCTTACTCAGTGGATTTATGCTGATCCAGACAATCCTACTGACTCCTCCTAAGTAATCAACATCTATGAGACAGTGGGCCAGGGGCTAAAGATGCAAACTGGGATCAAGAACCAGAAGCTATAGCGCTCCTATCAGAAGCAAACCTGTATCTGGCCATGTTACTACAGTATTTTAATTAACTAAGTTAAACAAACCATCATCACAAGTAAGAAAATAACTCTTAAATGAGCGTCCTATGGATACTAAGTACCCAAAGGGCAGCACATGCTCTTCCTTCTCCCAATTTTTCTCAGAAATAAGGAAATCTGAAACCCCACTTGACATATTAAAGGATGAATAGACAGAAATGGCCCAGAGCATTTTTTAAAATCTCCTGGTCCAGCACAACTCCTGTCTACACAAAGCTGGGTCAAACAGAATGCAGCGTAATGAAGCTTGAGCAACATTCAGACCAAAAGATGTCACTGTCTTACCTGTCTGAATCCCTGTCTCTTGCTCTAACTGTCGATAGAGTTGGTTCGAATAATTGGCCATCTTTTGTTCTAAGGTAAAGTGCCTAGCTGAACTAACAATGCCAGCACAAAACCTGGTGGAGCCAGCAGCCAACCTGTAAGACAAATCACAAACAGGAACTCACATACCTACAATAAACAGGAAAGGAAATGAGACCGGAACCAAAGAGCAAAAGAACTGGATAACCAAAGAGAATGTACAGTGCTACAAGCAGCCCGTCCTTCCCCAACCCCTCTGCTGCTCCCTTAACTTTAGTCGACTTCCTGAAGACAATTTAGGGTCTGATCTCTGCTGAACCCTGGACGCTTTCAAATCCATTATTATGAGCACCTAGGAAATATTCCAAACTTAAGAGAGAGCACACTTTTTCAAAGCACCTGTGTCATGTGTCTGATGGATCATGTTCTTTCTTCAAAGACCAGAAAAAGGCATAAGTCATTAGGTGGCAAACTGCAAGCAACTTCTACACTTTGGTTTGAATATTATATCAACAACACAGGGAAAATCACAGCTGTTATTGGGAAACTGGGGAATACCAGCCACTCAGTGCAGCAGGGCAGTCACACGTTATGCAGTGTGGTTCTTACCTGCCCTGTTCCAACAGGAGAATATCCTTCCATCCCAACTTGGAAAGGTGATAGGCTACAGATGTGCCTATAATTCCACCACCACAGATGACTACCTGGGCGTGGGTGGGGAGGGAGACAGAAGGACTAGATTCTGAAACTGCAGAAATGCTGCGCCTTGACTGAGACCTGTTCTGCCATCTCTGACTGGCCCTCCGCCATCGAATATCACATAGCAACCGGAAAAACATGATGACTTCTGTCTGTCAGCTTTCTAGAAATGTGATCTTCACTCACCCAAGAGGAAGCAGGACATAAGAATTCAACCTAGAGAAGGAAAAATTGGTGATATTTCATTCAGTGCAGTGTACAGGATCAATCAGAAATGTTTGTAATAAAATATTTATTATATACCTAATATTTTGTTAAGAGATTTAAGACTTCCTTCCTCTTTAAAATAGGGATACTACTTAAACACTCCACCTCACAGAGCTGCTGTGAGAAAAATATTTTGCAAACTGCTAAACAAAAGTGAGTTGTTATCAAAATGAAGCATCACCCTCCAAGGGAGATATGACTTACATGCTTTAAGCAGATAAGGTTTACATCCATGGAACCATAAAAGGATATAACAGGCTATGAAATATACTAAATTACAGAATACAAATAAGTAATCTCAAGAAGAGAACAAAGGAACAGATTAATATGGGCTAGAGGGATGTGACAGGATTCATAGAAGTGGGACTTACCCTAAACACTAAACATGGCAGGCATTTCCAAAATGCTTCTTGCTGAACTTGAAATCAGGAAGACCTGGGTAGGGTGTCTTTGATACTTCAGAAGCCATGTGACTCTAGGCAAGCCTCTTTGCCTCTCTGTCCTCAGCTGCTAAATATGGAGGAGGGAGGGGAACTGCTGTGCAAGATGTCCTTTAAAATCCCTTCCAGTTCTAAACTGGTGAGCCTACAATACAAAGGCAGAGGAGTAATAAGCAAGGTCCGTTACATCTAACTCTCCAGGACCCCATTTGGGGTTTCCTTGGCAAAGACACTAGAGTGGCTTGCCATTTCCTTCTCCAGCTCATTTTACAGATGAGGAAACTGAGGCCAACAGGGTGAAATGACTTGCCCAGCATCTGATACTGGATTTGAACTGAGGGCTGAGTCTGACTCCAGGTCCAGTGTTCTGTGCCCTATGGCGCCACCTAGCTGTCCATGATACATGTGCATAAAAATAGAGAAACGGCCTTGAGAGAGCAGAGGTGGTCTCATGGAGCAGTGAAAGATGAGGCTGAATAAATAAGGTCTCCCCAGGGTTTGTCCCAGTCCCGGCAGTTGGAAGGCATTTAATAACTGCTTCTATACTTGAATAGAGCAGAACCATGGTAGCCTCAAATTAGAGGCAGCAGGGTTTAGTGGAAGAAGTCAAAGGAGCTGGGTCTGAATCACTACCTGGGTGACCCTACGGAAGTCCCTGGACCTCTCTGGGCCTCAGTTTCATCATCTCTAAAGTGATATGGTTAGGCTTATTCTACCTATAGAGGCCAAACAGAGAAATCTGGGCTTGCTGAAGCAAGTAGTCCTGACCACTAACAGTTTCACAGAATTATGACATGATGAAAACAGTATTTTAAGTGCACAGCTAGCAGGCCATGAGGAAATGAGGGTCTGCATAAGAGTAGCCAGAAGGAATAAGGCAGGTAAGTGGGCCTGGCCTCAGACACTACCTAATTGTGAGACCCTGGGCAAGTCACTTTTTCTCACCTGTAAAATGTGCTGGGGAAAAAAAAAAAGACAAACTACACCAGTATCTTTGCCAAGAAAACCCCAAAAGAAGTTACAAAGAGTCAGACATAACTAAAAATGACTCAACAACAAAAGTCGGAATGAAAATGAAGAGAAAAACTGATTGTGAAGAAAGAATCCCCAGGGAAAATAAACTCGCCTGACATAAGAGACAAGGGAAGCAGAATTAAAGATGACTCCAAATATCTCAGACCTGGAACCAGGACAATAACTATGTAAAACGAGAAGGCACGTCCGTTTTGGAGGTATGAGAGATGAGTACTGTCCTAGACACTGTGACTTTTAAGGTGACTAGACACACAAAGTGGAAATATTTTATAGGTAGATAACACAACTGGAGCTTAGATGTAAGGATGTTGGTATAGTAGAATTATTACCAGAGGCAACATGTGAAAGAGCATTTGTAGAATGTACCATAAAGAAAAAAGCTAACAACTGTCTCAGAAGATGCTACCAGGAAGGAGGAAGAAAAGCAGAGACAAGAAATTTTTAAAAAAGAAATGAGGAAAACCAAAATAAAATAGTTAAGGAATGACATTAAATCATTTAAGGACACAACAGGCTGTAATAATCAATGCCAGCAAAAGGGTGCTGGTATACAAATGCCAAGGGTACTCTCCATTGCTTGGGCTCCTGCTGAGGGATCATCCCTCTCTAACCTAGGTCCTCCCCAAGGTGAGGCTTGGCAAGGTTACTAAAAATCAAGGAGACTCAAAAGAAAATAGATCCTTCTCCAAAGCAGAGAGAAGACAGCAGGAAAGAGGATGTCAGAAGATGATGAGAGGAGCATCGGATAAGAGACTGTGGCCCCTCAGCTGAAAGGAAAGAAGGTACCACCAGCCAACAAGGCCATTACTGCCACACCAAGAAGAGAACTGACCTCCAGCAAGAAGGGAACAGCTTCCCCTTAAGAAGGAAGCCCAACCCCAAGACAAAGAAAGCCCAACCCCAGCCAAAGTCGTTGTCACAAAGGAAAGAGAGGCTAAAACAGCAGCCATTCTGATGGAGCTCAAGAATGAAGACAATGAAACAGGAAAGAAGGAGAGTGAAGAACCTGAGTCACCCAAAATGATAAAACATGTGCAATTCCAGCCAAACAAGACTTTGAGTATGACGAAAAGGATGAAGAAGGCTCTGAAGGGAAAGCAGTGGACTCAACACCTACCAAATGGAAGATAAGATGGTTCCTGCAACAGCTAAGACATCATAGGATGAGGAGAACAAGGGCAGAGATGAGCACAAAGAGGAAGAAAAAGAAGTCCTCTGCCAAAGAAGCAGATGGAAAAAGGAAATTGGGAAACAGAGAGCCTTCTAAGCCAAGAAACAGAAACTGGAAGTTGAAACATCAACGGCTTCTAATCTCTTAGTTAAAAACCTGATTTTCAACAAAAGTTCTTCTGAACTAAAAACTGGCATCACTGACTCCTTTGCAAAACATGATCTCAAAGGTGTGCATGCCCGAGTTGTCACATGCGGCAAGTTTGGTGATAAGGAAGATGAATCTGATGAAGGCCTGGAAAAAGCTCTGTTCTCAGTGGCTCAAAAATCCTTAAGTGAAATTAAATTAGAAAGAGCAAAGGAAATAAAAAGAGATCATAATGCAAAGATACTCTTTATCAAGAGCCTTATAAAGTATAAAGTAGTATTATAAAACTACTCAGGAGAAACTAAAGGAATGTTTGAAGATGCTACTGAATACAGTCAGTCCCAAGAATGAGATCCCAAAAGAATGGCCTATGTGGAATTTTAAGACAGAAGCACAAACAGACAAGATCTTGGAAGAAAAACAAGGAACAGAGATAGATAATTAAGCCATTATTCTGAAATTTAAAAAAAAAAAAGCCAAGGCGAAGGAAATTCAAGAGATAGAATAATTCCTGGAGTGAGAATAACAAGTCAGCAAGAAACTCAAAGACACTTATACTGAATAACTTCACCTACAGTACCACTGGAAAAAGTCTACAGAAGCGTCTGAAAAAACATCATGCTCAAAATAACCCAAGCAGACATAACAGTATTCCTTGAAATACACTCAACTGAAGCAGCAAAAGCTGCTTTGAATTTGTGTAGGAAAAAGGAATTTGAACACAATCAGGTTGGAATTGAAAGGACAGAAAACAACTAATGCTCAGAGCTGGCCATCCACCACCTTGTTCAAAGTGTAGTGCCCTTCTTAGGAAAATGTAGGTGACACTTCCAAGGAGAGACCATGCGGTTTTGACTAGATGGATGTTCCACATTAACTTTTTGAGGAGACTGATGACGGATGTCAGAGTTGGCCTCTTAGTACAGAGGTGTCATGAGTCTGACAAAACCATTTCCCCTTTAAACTTCTGTAAGTAGTTCCTTGTTTTCATCTTCCTCCTCTTTTTTTTCCTTCAGTGGCTAGTCTTGGGGCCACTTAAAAGAATCCAAACTGTAAACAAACAAAGAATCCAATCAACCAGCTGTTTATGTACCAGACAAAACCGAAAAGGGAAAAAACACAGTCCTGGCACTCAAGACATTTATATTCTAAATAAAGCACTGAGAGGTAGCTAACAATTCCAAATAAACAACAAATTTAAGTAGACTGCACACAATGGGATCCAAGAACTCAACGAGGGCTAGAATAAAAGGGTAGCTAGAGCTCTGGCCTTGGAGTCAGGAGGAGCTGAGTTCAAACCCTGCTTCAGACACTTGACACTTAACTAGCCCTGGGCATGTCATTTAACCCTGACTGCCTCACCAAAAAGGTTAAAAAAAAAAGTTGAATAAAAGGTGATTATTCAAAATTCCAAGAATGAAGCTTAGAGATAGAAGCAAACTATACGTAGACATAGTTGCATCAGGTGCTGAGAAGAAAATCTGGCATCAAAAGGAAAAGAGCACGGGGGCGGGAACAAACAACACAAATCAACTTAAAATTTTTGGTCGTTTTCGAAGATGGGGTGGGGGGGGGACGGAACTATACGAATTTAGAGATGCAAAGGACGCCCAGAACTTTGGAAAACCCAACGCCGTCCGAGAGCTTTTTTTTTCCCTTTTTTTTTTAAACTGATTCAAGTCCACTTTATTTCACATAAAGAGACCTTGGGGCACATACGACAAACATCAAAGCCCTAGAAACGCTCAGGTGTAAGAGCCACACAGACTGGGGTTGGGAGTGTAGGTGCAACTGGATGATTTAACACAAAGGAGGAGAAACTGATTTTTAAAGTATATATATAGACATAAGCGATATTTATATATTCACGTACACATCTTTCATGTACATGCAAACATATGGAAATCGCCAGGCAAAAAGAAACTCGGGGAAGGACAAGCCAGCGGCCCGCACGGGGCAGAGGCCGGGCTCAGGTCCCGCGGTGTTCCTCGGGACAGGAAGGCCTGGGGCAGCAGCCGATAGGCCCGACACCCCGGCCGCCCTCTGGAGGGCGCAGAGTGCCCGCGCCCGGCCCCGGCCCCGGCCCCGACCTGCCCCGGCGCCGCTACCGGAAGCGGAAGGCCGAGGAACAATTTTTAACGGTCTTTGGGAAAGGCTTGGGGAGGAATTCCCTCCGGCCCCCCCCGGGTCTGGGCCCGGGCTCCTCTGGATCATGGACGGAGGAGACCAGGCCTCCCTAACCGCGGCCCAAACGAGTGAACCACGAAACGCGACAACGGTGTCGGGGGCTCCCCCGGCCAGCAGTGCAAAGAAGAAGAGCGGGAAGCGGGGGGGGGGGGAGGGGGCGGAGAATTTGCCCACGACGGGGCCGCAGGGGAGGGGCAGGAACGCGGGGCGGGGCCCGGCCGAGGGCGCCGGTGGGGGGCGGGGCCGTCGGGGACGCGCGCGCGGGGGCAGGGAGCCCCGAAGGAAGGAGGCTCGCGGCCCCGCCTTACCTCACGACCCGTCGCGAGCTCAGCGCCTTATCACACCCTGCCGAGGACAGGGCAGCGGGTGGCGGCGGGAAGCCCCCGGAGGGTGCGGAAGGTGGGAAGGATGTGGAAGGGGGGCGACGAGACGAGCCTGGTCTCCCGACCTTTCGCGCTTTACGGCCCTTCAGCAAGGATACGGCGGCGGGCGTCCCGTGCGCGTGTCGTCACGCCGCCGGTCCCGCCCAGCCGCGCCACGTGGTATTGTTTGGGTTCCGGAGCGACCGCCCTCGTGCTGCGCCGCCGGGCCATAGGTCTTTCCCCTAACCTCACCAACCGGATGTCTTCAGCGGCCCCGCCCTTTGAATAGAGCCGCTAGCATTTGAATGAACACTTTTTTTCCCCAAATCAAGGCAAACTTTATTGATAAAATGTTATAAAAACATCTCGTTACATGTTCAGCGTCCGAGAAGCGCGGGAGTCACAATACTCAGTACAACACGTGCCTCTTGGCGCAAGCGGACACCCGTCCATAGACGCAGTTGCAAACAGACACCCGCCCCTCGACGCAGGCGCAGACGGAGGCGGGTGCCAGCCAGTCAGCGGAGGCGCAGGAGCAGAAGGAGGCGGTTGCCAACCCCTTGGCGCAGGTGCAGAGGGATGCAGGCACAAGGCTCTCGGTACAGGCGCAGGCGCACACAAATATGGGCCCCAGCCTTTCGGAGCAGGAGCAGGCGCAGATGGATGCAGACTCCGCCCCCGGCCGGCGGCGGCTGCAGCTTGGCTTCTCCGCCAACGCTCCAACGCCTTGGTCACCGCGTCACTCTGCAGCAGCTGGCTGTCGCCGTACAGCCGCACGCCGGTCATGACGTAGAAGGCGTCCCGCGTCCAAAGGTTGCATTGGCGCTCGATCGCCAGCAGGCCGTCCCAGTCGAGGCCGCCCGGGGCCCGCTGCTGGAGCAGGAGTTGGACCGCCGCTTTGAGGTCGGAACTGCACTGGTGGGCGGCCGCCATGAGCCGCGCGAATCCCGTGCCGCTCTCCATTCTGATGGAGCTGCGTACGACGAGCGGCAGGCCCCGCAGCACCGCCTGGGCTACTCGCTCCTCGTGGGCTGCGGAAACAGGAGAATGGGGGAAATGGGTGAAGAGCGGCGTCCTAACCCGGGCCTGCAAGCACGGATTACTTCGGCGCACCGGCGAAGGCCACCACGCGGCTCCTCCCCCCAGGCGTTCACTTAACAATCTACGGGGGGGGGGGGGAAGCGAACTAAACTTTTGTAACTTTGTTTAAATATAAGTGGTTTCCCTTCCATGTGTTTTATGCCTTCAAAAACAGTCTGAGAAGACAAAATCTTCGCATACATTCCCAAATGAGCCCGTGGCTCAAAAAAGTGAAAAACCCCTGGCCTCGATCTCAGCCAGTTCCTCTTCTGTACTAACTCTGGACATACTCATATATCATATATATGTATGTATATACATATACACATATACACACATATCCTTCCCGGCTCCCTCTCACAGACCCCAAGTCACAATGCATATTTTCAGTCAGAAGTCAGCAAATTTTACAGGACTGGTAGGCCCATCTCCCAACCCCTTCGAAGACAGACTCCTGTATTTATAGCTTTCTGCTGAATACTTTCCAACGCGAAATGGAACTCATTTGTATTCCTCCCAACCTCCTCCTCCCTTTAAAAAATACAAATTAAACGTAGTTCCCCCTTCCAGGTAAAGGGGACCCCACTCCACTTGTAACTCAAATGTAGATTCCAGAAGCTACTCTGACACTGGACAAAGGCCGATTTCATTCTGCTTGATCAATCATATTGTTAGCTATTTCTTCAATATACTATACTCATTTGATAGTTTTTATATTTTAGATATTATTAGATATTATATGGTCCCTCGTGTTTTCCCACTAGATTGCCTGTCTTTTCCCAAAGAGAGAAAGCTGCATGTCTTGTATCCTTGTATCCCTCAAATGGGCTACTTTAGTGCTCGGCATAAAACAAGCTGTCTGGCTGAAGCTTAGCCTGGCCACAGCTGTGTCTGCCAGCCCCTTCACAATGACTGTTTGTCATCACCTTTTACCAATCTTCAGGGTACACCCTCCCCCAAAAGTCATCCAGTCCCTGGAGACTAGTGTCAGACCCACCCCCATGCAAGAACTTACATCCTTAGTTGCCAGCCACCCGGTACCTGTTACAAACTCCAAGGCAAGGCCTCCATATAGAAATGGATTAACCTCTGGTTGGTGCAAGTTAGAATTCAGGACTGCCAGCCTAGCCTGGACATTATTTATCTGTGTGGGATCCATCTGGGAGATGTCATCTGGATTCTTGTCCAGGGGCTAACTAGAAATCAAAAAGTCCAATTAACACATTAGCCAAAGGAGAGTTAAGAGGTGGCCATAAAAAGAATCCAGATTTGTATAACCCATGAGTGTCATTTCAACTTCTTGGGCCCCATGTTATTTCTGTTTCTGCAATATCCGTACTATTAATTTTCTTCTCTCTGTAACACTGCCACCACCTTACATGAGGCCCTCATCACTTTTCATTTGGAGTATTACTATATAGCCCACTCCTCTCCAATCTATTTTCCAACCAATCAATAAACATTAAGTGCCTACTGTGTGCTAACCAGATGGGCTTACAAAAAGATGCAAAAGAGAGTCCCTACCCTCAAGAAGCTTACAATCTAGTGAGGGAGACAACAAGCAAACCTATATAGAAAGCAAACTGCATATAGGATAAATAGGAATTAAAAGAGGGAAAGGACTGGAATTAAGAGTGCTTTGGGAAGCTTCCTGCAGAAGGTAGCATTTTAGTTGCCAAAGTGATTTTCCTTATCACCATCCCCCCAAACCCTACAAACTCCTGTGTTGGGCATTTAGTTCTTCAGAAACACCCGTATAGTTCCAGTTTCCCTACATTTTACGGTCGCCGCCATACTAGCCTAGGTGCAAGTCCTTAAAAGGCTCCATTTTCCCAACTCTGCCTTAGCTCTTGATAACCTCCATGCCTAGAATTCGCTCTCTGCTTACTTACCTCAGACTCTTCAAATTCTTGCTTCTCTCAATGTTGGAAGTCAAATACCATCTGCAGGAAGAGAGAATACACCACCCCCCTCCCCAGCCTCTCCAAGGCTACTTTCCATCTATTCTGTCTCCTACTTGCACCTATTTCTAGTGTTTCTTCTATTAGAATGCAAACTCCCAGTGGGCAGGGACTGGTTTCAGCTTTTTTCCTCTTGAGTACTTCCGAGCTAAGCACTTAATAAAGGCTTGTTTGATTGGTTGTTCCCCTAAACACACACACACACACACACACACACACACACACACACACACACGCCCACTGGAACTGCAAACTCCCTGAGGGCAGGGATTTTTTTTTTTTTGCTTTTCCTTTGTATAGTGTTTAATCAGTGCTTGTTGAATGATTGCATTTTCATTAAATCATATACCTGAAAAGGAGCTTAAAGATTATTTAATTAAACCCTCCCAGTTTACTGAGGACAAAACTGAATGCTGAAGCTAGATTAGAAGTTTTATGTCCTTTCTTCAGTAAGCTTCAGTATTGGGATGGGTGGATCATTTATTGTTTTGTGTTACCTTGGGTTCCTAAGCCTTTAGGGACTTCTTGGGGCAGGTGAAAGACCACCAGTCTATTTTAGGAACCTCCTTGAGTGTCAGGCTTAGGTGGGGTTGACTAGCTGATTTCGGCTTCTTCCTCAATATGGCAGGGGGAGGGGGAAAGAGGAGAGTAAAGGAAGCAAGTATTTATCGAGCACCTACTGTATGCCAGGCTTAGTGTTTTATATGAAGCAGGCAGCCACAGAAGGGCCTTCTTTTTTAGCCCCACAAATGAGCTGGAGCTTTCTTTCAAGGTATCTGTTGTCAGCCAGGGTAGCCACACTGAGAACGACAAAGATCCCAGAACACCTGCCATTACTGCACAATGCACTTCCAGAGTCTTTGCCTTAGAGATTACTAATACACCTAGAGATAACAAGAAATGGGCTGAAGTAAAAAACCCTGGTCCCAGCATGAGAAGCAAAAACCCGGAACCTGGATACTTCTGCTATTACCATTCGTGTGACTTAGGCAAAGAATGGTATTTTAAGCCCCAAAATACCAAAGTTCTGTTCTAGTAGCCAAAGACTTGCAAACCCACATCAGATATAAAGTACCTCTTGGGAAAAACTTGGAGCTTGCTTAAAAGCACACCACAACCCATTTCCTGTATCTGGAGTTTAGGGAGAAAGAACTCTAAGAGAACTGTGAAAGGCATGTCTACTTGCCTTTCAGAAGGTTGTCTTCACCAGTTGATATTTGAAAGTGATCAGGCCAGGCTTAAGGAGAGTTACTCCTGCTACTCTACCCTGAAAGCTAGACCATCAGAGCCTCAGCCTGGGAAGGAGATGGGCCACTTCCTGGGATTATGCTTCTTCTTCTTCTTCTTCTTGACTTTGGCCATTTTCTGCACCTCAGTACCCATTCCTCTCCCTCCCCACCCCTGCCATCAACCTGACTTAAGGAAAGAGATGGACTTAACCATCTTTATGACTCCCTTCCCCAGTCCACAGTTTTCCTATATGTCTTCCCCATTCGAGTATAAGTTTCTCAAGAGCAGCATTCCCCTTTTGTATTTGTATCCAGCCCTTAGCACAGTGATTGGCATTTGGCAAGTACTTAAATAATTTTCATTCATTCCTTCCCGCCTAATAAAAGCTGTATTTGCCTATCTCAGGTAGCTACTACCTTTTGCCTTCCCTGCTAACCCTAAAAGATGCTGAGAGATGTTACTTTGGTAAAAAACAAACAAAAAACCCTTACTTATTGACAGCATTCAAGCCCCACCCACTCCAATCCATTTTTCCATTTTGCCAGGACTAGCAAACATAACAAGGTGTCCTAACACCACAGTGGCATCTTGTGGTACAACGTGAGCCTCTGAGCCAGTCAAATTCCAGGAATAGCTTTGTTGATTTTCAAGGAAAAACTACCCTAATCCATGTCGGGGGTGGAGAGGAGAATGGAAGAGAGAACTCTAAGAGGTAATTATCTACCACACTTTCAGACTCAACAAATTTTTTAATGCAACAGACACTATGTGTTGTAAAGGGTGTACTATTTACATTTCATTTTCACTTTGTAAAAAGTCATCCCCTTTCAGACTC